TGAGGAACCCTGGAATCTTTTTGCCATACCTCCCAAACCACAGTGAGAGATGCGCAGCTAGGACAAAACTTGGCCAGTTGTTTCATACATGCTCAGTGAAACCGCAACCATTGTCCTTCTCACTCAGAACAATTTCCCGCTCCTTGGAAATGGTAAGTTCTAGAGGGCAGAAGAGTATTGGGGCAGCACCTCAGCCAGCATCAGAATGTGGAGGCTATGAAGACCACTTTGATTACTTCAATATTGTTTGGCATTGAGTTGTAGCCAAATGCAATTTATTTCACGAAGACTGAGTGGTCAGGTTCTATTGAGTCTCAGCTTCCTTTCATATCTGGAGTCAGGCTCAATTGGATCATCCTCCTGGAGCGGTTTGAGTCACTTACCCTAGCTACTGACACCTTACTGCGCTTACTCAGGATCAGGAGTGAGACCCTATCAACATATAGTTTCTCCGCTCAGAGATCTGCACTACTTCCCCATCTGCTGCCAGATCCAGGTTCACGGTGTTAGTAGTCTTATATAAAGCCCTTAACAGCTTGGGACTAGTTTGTTTGCAGGATCACTTTGCCCCACATATGCCCAATAAACACCCGAATCTGCAGAAATGGCACTGTAGTTGGTGCCACATAACACTTGTTCCACAGCTGTAATAAATCTTTTAGTGTGGCAGCACCTACAGAAACCGGGACGGCTTCTCTAAATCAGGGACATCCCTGGAAAGCAGGTACACTTGGAGTGGTTTAATTACACACACACTTCCAACTCTAAACTCTGGCTTTTGTCCTTCTCACTATGGCCCCCCCACCCTTTGCTTTCTGAATGGCCCATCACCCAGGTGATTGCCTCAACACAGTTAGATAGCCTGGCTTATATTTTAACACTTGCTAAGATTATAGGTGCCTGGCACCCACAAACTCAAAACGATATAAATTGGCCCTCCACAAGGCGGTGAAGCACTTCCAAGTGTTTGTTCAAAGTGAAGCTACTGTTGATGTGAGCAACTTGGCCCCAAAGCAACCTTGGAGGAAATTGCCCCCTCCCAGTTCAAAAGTGGTATGGAAAGGGTCAATAACCAATAAATTCCAGACTTCTCAGGGTGAGGCCTAGTCCCACATTCAGGCCAGAATTATCTGCTATGGAATACAGACCCTCCAAGTGTCCCTATTTTCCAGGGACGTCCCTGATTTAGAGAAGCCATCTCAGTTTCTGATTTGATCCCAGAATGTCCTACTTTTTCTTAGGATGTCCCTATTTTCATTGGAGGGTAGGGAGTTATCTGACCCCTGAGCCATCTGAAGGCAATCCTGTATAGGAGATTTCTTTAAAAAAATGTTTTATTATCTTTTTATATATGTTGGAAGCTGCCCAGAGTGGCTGAGGCAACCCAGTCAGACGTGTGGAGTATTGAGAGTAAAATTATCATTATGGAATGGGATGTCCCTATTTTCATTGGAGAAATGTTGGAGGGTATGGGAATAGTTGGTTTACCATTTATACTTTTCTTATAAGGCTGTTGGCAGAAAGTGATAAATTATTATTTCTTTTTGAAATAAATAAATATTAGGGGGCAATATCTCTCTCTTTGTGTGGAGGGGGGCTGCTTTGCCAGATTAACCCCAACTCTGGAAATTTGGTTAGTGACAAACCCCAAAGTTTGAAAACAAGAAAACAAGGCAAGACAAATAAACTAGAAAAAGGGGAAGTTCTGCCTCGGCAACAGTTTCACGTGGCCACTTTTGGTTGCAAATTATAGCCCCCACCCCAGACATCACTCCACCACAATATGTTGTTTGTCTGTTTTCAGACCTTCCTGTCAGCACCAAGGACATCTACCGTCACTTTCCTTTTTTAGAGACGGTTTCCAAGAACATTAGGAGAAAACACTGAAGACTTCATAGACCTAAGATGACTTTCCAGGAGAAATGGACCATGCAAGGTCAACCTTTGATACGGTGAGTGAAAGGGGCCTACCTCCGGGCTTTGGGAAGATAGAAACATAAGAAAAGACTCTTCCTAGGATCGGTCAACTATCATGGAAAGGATGTAGGTTGTAATAGGCTTGGGCATAAGTATTAGTATTTCCATTTGAATTCTGGTTTCTCAAATTGATAGGCTTCCCAACTAATGCAGATTTTAACACTTAGTTACTGCCACCTCCCTGCTGAGCTCAAGAGAGACTTAAACATAACAAAAACTCCCCAATAGCCACCTTAGGCCCATGTTCAGCTTGGAGCTGCTGCATGTGATCTTTGCAGCACACTGGAAGGTAGCCTACCTGCAGCCCATTAGCCCAACATTTAGGCCAACTTTTCAGCTGACAGCTTAAGGGGGAGGAGTAGGGAGCTACTGGGCTGCCTGCAAGATGCTCAGATAAGCCACTTGCTTCTCTGGGATATTTATTGTGAAATGTCGATTGATTTCAATTCTCACAATTTGGTATATATTCCTGGTATCAGTAACCTTTCTCCTCACCCCTCTGCTTTGACATGCACAGCAATGGGGATGCCCCCGGGTAGCCGGCATTCTATGGGGAGATGTGCAAGGCCCAAAATGAATTATAGGTCTTCTGGCTGGAATACTGCATGTCCTCCTCCATCCCTAAATTGTGACCAGAAAGAAGCCTTTTTAGTCAGCAGCACCCCTTTGAGAGGCAACACTGCAGAAGCTCAGCTGGGAGACGTGCAAGTCTTCTACATCCATTGCCCATTGAGGTATCTAGGGCCTCTAGGCAGGGCAAGAAAATCTATTGGAACCTCTCTGGACATCCAGTGCTCAGTTGGGGGTGGAGTATGCAAGAGCTGGGCGGCACCCTGATCCTTTGCAGCTTTGGAAATGTTAGGGAAAGCACCCAGCAACCCCCTAGCTTCTCTGAAACTCACCAATCAGCTAGAACAGCATCAAGCCTTTCAGATAGCAGCAATAATCAGGGGTGCTCAGCTAGGGGGAAAAGGATTTGTGCTCCTTCAGCTACAGCTTTGGAAATAATGGGAGGAGGGACTCCTAGAACCCACCTAGCTTCTCTGAAGCACACCACCTTCTCGTGAGATACTAGCTCTTTCAGATCCATAGCAGCTATAGCTAGGCCAAGGAAGCAACAGGGCTGGGTGGCTCTTCTCTGAGCTGATGAAAGATGTTCCTGGTATCCTCATAGCTTTTCTGTAGCTAACCTCCGAGCTGGGATAAATGCAAGCTATTTAGACTAGTGCAGAGGTAGAGGGAGCAGCTGGTGTCTTTCTGAAGCTCAGTGCTGAGCACAGGAAGAGTGGGATAACTTCTGCTCAGCTATGCCTTTGGGAACAATCATGGGGTAAGCTCCTAGGATCTCAGAAGCTCAGTGCTCAGCTGAGAAGCACACAAGCCATTCAGATCTACAGCAGCTATACCTGAAGCAGGGGAGCAACTCTTTCCAATGACCAGTGGTCAGCTGGGGGAAAGTTTGGCATCTTGTTGGGCTACAGATTTACAAAGGCTAGGAGTAACTGCTGGGAGCCTTCCACTCTCCTCCCTCTTTTTCTCCAAAGTTGGGATAAGGAAGCTTTCAAGTGTTGCGCTCCAACCAACACACCACTAGGAAGACTGGAGGAATGCTAGGGATCTCAACCTTCCTTAAAATCAAGCACTCAGCTTGGAGAGCTGTGTGGCTCTGGGCTTCAGTAAAGACAGAGATTGCAGAGAGAGCACCTGGACCTCCCTAACGCCTGCAACTTTACTGGCAGGTGTGCAAGATCTGAGCTCAGTGGTAGCTTTCAGTAAACTTCTAAGGTAGCAACCAGCTTCTGCTCCTCCCCGCCATTTGTGTAAGCAGGAATACGTGCTGTCCTTTCCATTCAGCCCAGTGAAGAGCACTAGGCTCTCTTGTTTCTCTGAAGCAGTGTTCTTCACCCCTAGACCCCAGACAGCGACTCTCTGGGGTTTCAGCCCAGGAATATATTCCAACCCTAACCTGAGGTTCTGTGAGTTAAACATGAGATTTCCTGCGTGCAGAGCAAATGTTCCATCACTGACCTGTGCTATTCCTGCTCTACCACTGAGCTACCCCTGTACCCCAATGTACAACTGTTGCTGGGTTTCTTAAGTTCTTTTCTGCTGAGCAACTTGCAAGCCCCTTGGCTAATTGGGAGTCCTGGGAGGGACCACTGGAAGATGCTTCACCACTGAACTATGGACCTTCCTGAAAGGGCTGGGAGAACAATGTGGGTCTCTGAAAGCCAGTGCTCCCCTTGAAGAATGGTGTGATAGTGCTCGCTTCGGCAGCACATATACTAAAATTGGAATGATACAGGCGCAAGGATGGAAGTCTGGTGTGATAGCCACCCAACTACAGATCAGGTTCATAAATGGTAGGGGCTTCAAATTAACTCTGCCAGCTAAGGAGCAGCTTTAGGAAAACCTAGGGGCAAGCCACTGCCTTTCCTTACCCTTGTGGAAGGCCAGCATAGAGCAGGTAGGTATGTCATAGAATTGTAGAGTTGGAAAGGTCATCGAGTCATTTATATGCTTGCCTTATATCCAGTTGCCAAGAGATCTCAGCTAGCCTCCCCAAACACTCCAGACTTCTCCATTTAGCTGAGAAGTATGAGAATGCTAATGAGCAACCAACACTCACTTAAAGGGTTTTAAGATAATATCTACCCTTGCTTTCTGCAAACCTCTAGGTGGTTGGGTTTGCACAACAGCACCAGAGCCTCTCATGTGAGTGTTATCTTTTGGAAGACTGGTGGGAGCCGCTGGTCTCAGCTGACTCCTTTCTGGTGTTGTAGACTCAGGTGTAAGTGATGCAGTTCTCAGAAAGCTGTGGAGATCTCTCTAGTGCAGTGATGGCCAAACTTGGCCCTCCAGCTGTTTGTGGACTACAACTCCCATCATCCCTAGCTAACAGGACCAGTGGTCAAGGATGATGGGAATTGTAGCCCCAAAACAGCTGGAGGCCACTGCTCTAGTGTGTCTGAAAGCAGCTGCTCAACACAGTGAGGGCTTGATGGTGGGGGGCAACTTGCAGGTGTGTGAGGCACCCATAAAACTGCACTACTAGCATGCAAAGCCATAATTATAATAATAATAATACAGCTTGGGACTCTTAAATACTGTGTCCCAAGCTGTTTAGGACTTTGCATGCTAGTAATGCAACTTTACGGGTGCCTCACACAGTGATGACCATTTGAGATCTATGATCAGCAGGGAAGGCCTGTTAGTGGCATTGCTGTGGGTGCTGCCTAGTTGGCACTGGCAGGGCCTTCTCGGTGGTGGTTCCCTATTTGTACAATGCCCTCCAGTGCATCTGTCTGCTTCATTCAGGAGGGATTTAAAAATACTGTTGTTCATCCAGACATTTGAGAACTGTAGTTTACCGCTCACAGCACTACAGCTCTCAGCTGGAATTGTAGTTCTGCTTGTGGTGAACAAAGGTTTCCAACATTATTTGAGGGAAGCCCTTTGCTTTAAATATATGGTGTTGCTGTGACTCATGTTTAAATGTTTATATGTTCTTAGTGTTTTAATTAATTTATATCTTTTTGCTACTGTTGTTCCATTGGGATGAAAGGGGTGAGGCAGAAATTTAACATAGAAGTAAATGAATACAGTGGTACCTCTGGTTACTTACTTAATTCGTTCCAGAGGTCCGTTCTTAACCTGAAGCTGTTCTTAACCTGAAGTACCACTTTAGCTAATGGGGCCTCCTGCTGCTGCCACGCCGCCACCACACGATTTCTGTTCTCATCCTGAAGCAAAGTTCTTAACCCGAGGTATTATTTCTGGGTTAGTGGAGTCTGTAACCTGAAGCATATGTAACCTGAAGCGTATGTAACCCGAGGTACCACTGTACTCACTAAGCAGTTCGCCAACTGACAACCCACCACAGAGAAATCTAATAGGGAGCAGGGCATTTTCTGGTACCTGACACCCATCTGTGAGGGAGATTAATAGCTTCAGGTAGGCCAGTGGGAGCAACTGGTCTTGTCCCAGCCTCTCTTAAGCTTGGCAAGAGACACATAAGCCTTCAGCACCAATTCTGGAAAAGCTGTGAGGCATCTAAGCTCTCCTCACTCGGTACCCTTGTGGAATCAGCACTTAGCTAGGAGGTGAACCAGTCTCAAGTCCCTTCTTTGTGAAGGCTCCTGCACAAGTGCTGTATATCTCTCTGTGTATATATGTGTTTTGAAGGGGAAGATATTCTGCGACTTCTGTGACTGCCAGAGTTCGAGGCCTTGTATTGTTATTCGGATGACCACATTCACACTATACAGTTGAAGCGTTCCAATACCACTCTAAACAGTCATGGCTTCCCCCAAAGAATTCTGGGGGCTGTAGTTTGTTGTTAAGGGTGCTGAGAGGCAAAAGGAGGCCCGCATTCACCTCAAAGTGTTATCGCTGCCAAAGTTCCCTTTTGAGAGGGGCTGGTTGTTAAACCACTCCAGAAATTATACTTCTGGGAGGGGGCTAGCTGTCTCCTAACATCTCTCCGCACCATTGACAAACTATACCTCCCAGGATTCTTTAGGAGAAGCCATGACTGGCATGGTGTAAGAATATGGTACATATTTCAAATAGCAATAGATGCTTAGTGATTGGTTGTGGGGTGTGGGGTGAGAGAGAGAATTTCTTTGAGAATTTGTTAGGGTTAAATTTATTCTGATTGGGCTGGATGATAGAAGATGCTGACTGGCCGGAGGTTATAGAGTGGTGAGTTAATTGTCAGTTAGGAAACATGAGGCATAGGCAAATTTGGCCCTCTAGATGTTTTTGGCCTACAACTCCCATGATCCCTAGCTAACAGGACCAGTGTTCAAGGATGATGGGAATTGTAGTCCCAAAACATCTGGAGGGCCGAGATTACCTATGCCTGGGAAAGTTGTTGGGATGTGACAGCTGAGATGGGGAAAAGGGAGTTGAAGAGAGACATGTGAGGAAGAGACGAAAGTCCAGCTGAGGCCTGAATATTCATACCCACTGTTTTATTAACGCTTGTCTGGTGAAGATCAGTAGAATGGATCCATGGTTGAGATGGGGCTTGTCCTGTGTCTAGAAATCATAAGTTCTACTTTCTGAGTATGGGTCCTATAGTTTATCCCTGCCACATCTCCCAAGAAAACTTGTTCGCCACTGAATCAGAACAATCCACAGAAAAACCGATTGATGTTTGTTCTAATTCAGTGATAAACAACTGTGTTTTCCCCCCCCTGGAGATAGTGACGGGACAAGTGGAAGTGTCGATGAAGAAGCCATCCTGTGTAAAGGTCTTATCAAAATAAGGTTGAAGAAGCGGGTGTTTTTTAAGTTGGCTAAACTGTCCAACCTGTCAGAAATGCAACCACAGAATCTTGGGCGGTCAGAGGTAGAATGCGCCCAAGGACCTGGCCTAGATTTATGTATTTTATTTAACAAAAATTATATACTGCTTGATTGTAGGAAAACCTCAAAGCAGCTTACAATAAATATTAAAGTTATAAATAAAAGCAGTTAAAACAATTTTAAACATTGAGAGATAATTAAAATAGCTCAGCTCAGATAAGCAATCCCAGCTAAAAATGAAGCATCTTCCAAAAAAAAACCCCATTATTATTATTATTATTATTATGATGATGATGATGATGATTTGTTTCCTCAGCTTGCCAATCTGCCCCGCATGTCTTTCCTCTCATTCCATCTTCTGGGAGTATCTCCAACAATGGAAGCATCACTATTGGCTGCTTGGCCCAGGATTTCCTGCCTAGCTCACTCACTTTCTCCTGGGATAACGATGAAGACGAGGCAATCGAGTTTACGGAATTTCCTTCTTTCTTCAACTCCCGTGGGACTTTCACTGCAAGCTCCAAGGCAGTTGTCCCTGCTGCAGCTTGGAAGCATTTTAATCCATTCTACTGCAAGGCTGCTCACTCTCTTGGAAACAGAACAGAAGAAATTGTCCGTCCGAGTAAGTGAATTTATTTGACTTGTTGTCTACAAAAAAACCAAGATTTCCCAGCAGCCAACAGCAGCTCAAACCAGGAGATTAGCATAAAGGAGTCAGAAAGTGCTAGGGAACTCTTAAAAGACCAAATGCTTGATTTCTGCATGGTCTTTTATGGGAAGTGGCCTCTTGTGATAATCTTGCGATATATCTTCCATCCAATAACTAGCTAGGGTTCCCTTATGTCTGGATTTCCCTGTTGCATCAGCAGTATTTGTGTGTGTGTGTTCTTTTTTGCCCTTCCAAATATTGCAACCCTACAACTAGCTAGTTCCCAAAGGACCACATACCTGCCTGTATTCTTAACACACTGAATAATTACCTAAGTTCAGAACTAATGCTTTTCTGCATAGGGTGAAGATTAATTTATGTAAAAGAGGGAAAGCGTTTCAAATCCGTTTGAAACCTGGCCCCTAATCCAAGATATAGGTGAATAGGATATGATTGCCTTGTAGCATGGGAAATGAACTAGTCATGTGCTCTTACACTGTCATTCATTCTGAGAGTGAGCCTTCACTCTGTGGGATGAAGCCATTGAAATGGATTGGGAAATGCTTGTCTAGACGCACAACCTTCTAGAAGACAATCTCATGAGTCTTGTGAATGAGGGTTCCTCGATAGACCTGGATCTGCAGTTCCCCTTGAGTTGCTGGATTCATCTGCAATAAATTTGTTTACCTTCTGCCACTTTCCTTCCTTCTGCAGTAGTGCGCCCAGACTCTCCGCCTAACATTATCATCAGCGCACCACTCCTAAAGGATTTTGCGGGGTCCCCCTTGAATGCCACCATCACCTGCACTGCTATAAATCTGCACACTCAGAAGACCACAATCCAGTGGCTGAGGGATGGAAAAGTTATTGAATCTGATGAGCCCACCACCATACGGATCTCAAAGCGCAGCTACAGCGTGAGGAGTGAGCTAACAATCACCAAGAACGACTGGGACAATGGCAAGAAGTTCTCCTGCAAAGTGTCCAATGAGAGATTCAGTGGGCTAAAGAACATCAGCAGACCCCTTATTTGTGGCGGTAAGTTATTATATTCCATCAGAGCACCGGAAAGCTGATTGAAACATTCAAGACAACAGGGGCATCTTTCATTTCTGTCATAAGGAAGGAGCGCTCAGTATATATGGTTGCATTCTGAACACGGGAGAAATATTAGCTTTGGGCTAAAACTGAGGTAAGATTTCATGAAAATCTACATATGCCAAAACGCTCAACAAGAGGTGAAAATCCTCTAGAAAGCAGAATTATAATAGGTAAGCAGATTTTACGGCAAGGTCTGAAGGCACTTAAGCACCATAGTCTAGCAATGTTATCCTTCAGCGTATGCTGGGATACCGCTGAGATATGTAGATCCAACCTTGGCTTCAGTGTTATATGAGACCTCAGTCTATGTTTTGGTACTCATAGTCCCCCATACTTTCTGCTGATCCAATTCTGACATTATTTTTAGTGGGGGAGGAATCAAATTTCCTTGTGATTCTTAATATTCTTACAAATGAATGCCTTGTGCATTTGGGATTCTACCAAGAGCACAGTGTAAAATCATTGACTCTGGCAAATCAGTGGATCACCAAGGAAAGGAACTTGTGCAGCAACTAGCAAGGTCTCCCATCTACAAGCCCTCACAAACAAACTCCTTGAATATGGCACTATCGTGGGATAGGGAAATTCTCTATTCTGACTTGGACATAAGCAATGGAACTCTTTGAGGACATTGGATGTTTGAATCAGATATACATTGGGGTTGTCATAAGTGTTGTCCTACTATGGATCTCAATGCTCTTCTTCTTAGGTCTTTCCATCCCTGTCATGGTTGAGACCATCCAACCTTCCTATGCTGATATTTACCAGACCAAGTCAGCCAAGCTGACCTGCAGAATTTCCAACATACCCGATGAGCAAGACCTTAAGGAGCTGAACGTCACCTGGACAAGAGCATCTGATGACAAACCCCTGGACACTGAACTGGAAACGTACCACGATGAAGAAAACAGCGATTTGATATATGCAGATGCAGTAGCTACTGTGTGTGTCGACGAGTGGGAAAAAGGAGAAACTTTCAACTGCAAAATTATTCACCCAGATTTATTTCCTTCAATGGAAGTCAGGTCCCTGCGTAAGCCTCAAGGTAGGTGCCTATTTTACATCGGCTCAAAAAAAAAAAAAAAAAAGATTAAGCAACCCTTGGTGTCATTGATTTTAGCAGTTTCGTTCTGTCTTCACAATCATTTAACACAAGCTATCCTAACATGGTGGTCTCCCCAGATGTTCTGGACTATAACTTCCAAAATCAGCAAATATGGGGCTTAGTGGCTGGGGCTGATGCACTTTGTGGTCCAAAACATCTGGAGCACACCAGTTTGCGGAAGAGGGATTTAACACGCATCTGAATCTAAGCAATCGTTGTTGGAATTAATAAGCTATCCTTCCAATGCCTGCCCAGTGGACATGTACAGTATGGGCTTCTGTGTGCCTAAGGGCAACAAAAAGAAACATCAACTTAGCCCCCAGCATGCGGTCAAAAAAATCCATATGACTTAATGGGTTATAAGTTATATGAGGCTGCTCTTAGAGTAGATGAAGCCCCTACTCCAGGGGTCAGCAAGGTTTACCTCTCCTGGGCTGGTTCACTCCCATGGAGATTGCTCCGTGGGCCAGATCGCATCTGCGCAGACGCAATTTTCAGCATCTGCACATGCACAGACGTGTTTTTCAGTGCAGCGGAAATGAGTCCCTGCTCCATGCTGCACCGGTTTAGCGCAGCACGCGGGGGCTCGCCAAGCGGGAAGCTCGGTTTGGGGGCGGCTCATGGGCCATTTAAATAACCCCTGTGGGCCCCTTGTGGCCCATGGGCTGCAGGTTGCTGACTCCTGCCCTATTCTCACCCCACCTTAGCAATGAAGAGATGGGTTTGTCCCCACTTACTTCATGGGACCATCTCTGTAAGTCATAGTCTCTCTGTCTCGCTTATGCTCTTCCACTCTTTTTACACACACAAAGCAGTGGACCATGCCACCACAGTCTTTTATAAAATCCAGATTTAGAAAGCCATTGCATCAAATCTCTGATCTGGTCATCATTGGCCATTGTCCATTTCACCTCCTAGAAGGCTTCTACCAATCTTCTCACAGGTTTTTCTGACTCTCTCAAACCATACAAATGAGGTCATAGTTAAGGAAAGGAAAGTGGGGGAAAGATGGTTAGCAATGTACTTAAAAAACAAAACCATGCATTTGATATTCTCTTCACACACACCCTCCTTTAACCTTCCAGATGGCAACCCCTCTGCTCCACATATCTACATCCTTCCTCCTCCTCCGGATCAGCTGGCTCTGCAGGAAACAGCCACTGTCACTTGTTTGATGAAAGATTTCTCCCCTCCTGAGTTCTTTGTCAAATGGCTGCGGAATGATGAGCCCGTGGATGCTTCCAAATACTTCACCAGCACAGCCACCCAGGAGTCCAAGGCACCCAAGCGGTATTACGCCTATAGCATGCTGAACGTCAATGCAGAAGAGTGGAATTCTGGAACTACTTACACTTGCATGGTGGGGCATGAGATGTTGCCCCTCCAGACGTCTCAGAAGACCATAGACAAGAATACGGGTAAACCAACCGTTGTCAACGTCTCCCTCGTGCTCTCCGACACCGCCAGCACTTGCCAGTAACCATTCTTGTCAAGCCTCCTGCATATCTTTCACATCTCCCTAATTCTACCAGCATCTATTTTCCTTTCTTGTGTCTCCATTTGTTTAATTATTGGCCTTTTTGTGGGGGAAAAGAGGGGTGATGTGCCCTAAATGATGTAGAATTAACTGGCCACATCTTTCTGAAATAAAACAATAGTTTGAAATAAAGAAAGGAGACAAATCTGGATTGTTGTTGGAAATTCTGATAAAAGGATAAAAAAAAAATTGATAGGATATAAAGCTTCCACTCTCAGCATTTTCTCAGCTATGATCTGGAATTTTCAAGGGATGATAAAAGCATTAGACATTAGACACCCAGTTAGACACCCAGCCCTCCCTTGTGTATAGCATTGCAAGTATCAGATTTGTCAACCTCACCATACCTTTCCCTTGCTAGCTCTTCGGCCTTTACTCTTATAGCTTTGTCTCCCATTACTTTCTCTTCTCCACAAACACAAACGTCACTGTAGTCTTTCTTCAAAATGATTAATTCCTCCATGTGGGACAGAGAATATCTGTTTTAGGTGTCTAGGACCACACATTTATTATTTCACTCCTAAGGATATAATGGTGCTGACGTTGTTGCTTAATTTAGAGCAATCTAAGGATGTTTCAGTGTAAAATTCCCCTAAAGAACCAAAAGAAGCTGCTCAGGACCATGCAGAGAGTGTTTCATGACATGTCTTGCGTGTTGCTTTTAAAAGTGTGGTTGTAAAAGCAAATTGACATCTTTGATGGCTCTTCAGAGGGAACCCTATGTGCACACTTTGCAGGTGCTTTGAAAAACGGGCTTTACACCAACACAAAACCACCAATTTTGGCAACACTTTTTTAACTTAGTGGGGATTTCCCCCCCAAAAAAGTTAAAGGTAAATCCATTTTAAAGGAGGGATTAGGGTAGCATTTCAATGCTAATGACATCATGTGGAAGAAGCCAACAAATTGCACAGACAAGGAACAGCCTTCCCACTAGAACAGCTGGAAGTGCTCCTGTCTTTCTCACATAGCAATGACATTGCAAAAACATTTCCATAAGCACAAATATATATATATAACATGATAGCAGAGATCTTCTAATATCAACACACTGACGCACAAATAAATATTTATAAATATCATGCATAGAAAGCAGTGATTTTCAGTTTCTGCAAGCACACACGGGTTTATCATTCTGCAACCCTGATCCATCTTATCTTTATTTTCGTATTGCATCTCAAAGCAAAGACTAAAGAAAGTAATAAAACGTGTGTGCATAAACAATCACGATTTAGGTGGACCTAGGACACTGGATGCTTCCATTTATGTTCACCACAGCACACATTTAACAAGTTCCAAATGCACAATATGATAATGGTGGCATTGATGCCATCAGAGAAGTTTCCCATGTGTCAGTGAATTGCATATTTGAGGTTTCTTTGCCAAAACTAGAGTATATATCTAAAAAAAGAATCATCACTTTGTCCGTGATCATCTAAAACTTGAAAAATGTAGCATTGCAATTTCCAAAATCACTTTGTCCATTGTGATGAAAAGATCTAGAGTATCATTAACATAGGAAGTAATCTAAACCTCTACTAGTCCAAAGTAAAGAAAAATGTGGTGGTTGCATTTGTTATGACTGACAATGGCTACTACCCACAATGGCTGTGCTCCACCTCTGCTATTGGAGGCAATATGTCTCTGAATACCAGTTGCACACCAATGCTCTTTAATTCTCTCCCAAGGCACAGCAAGAGAGACACATAGGACAAAACTAAGCCAGTTGTTTCATTTCAGTTTGACAAAAGTGCAGGCATTGTCCTTCCCGCTCAGAACCATTTGTTGGAAATGGTGGATGTAGACAGCAGAGGAGTAACTGAGAAGCATCTCAGTCCACAGCAGAATGTGGAGGCTATGGAGAACACCTTGATAACTTCAGTCATTGTTTCTTGGTAATGAGTTGCAGCCCAATGCAATTTCTTTTGGGAATAGCCAGCAGATGGGTTCTATTGATGCTCAGCTTCCTTTCATATTTGGAGACAGGTTAAATTGGATAGTTAGTGCTCCTGGAGTGGGAACTGCCTTCTCCTGTAGCATGTGACTTGGGTAATTTGTTCTACTGACACCTTACTGCGCTAAACCCACCATCTGCCTCTGTTAAAGAAAGGTTTAGATTGTGCACTTGTTTTGCTGAGGATAAAATCTGAAAGGAATCTACAGGGGGTAGGTGAGGCTAGTAACTGCACTCATGTTCACAAGATACAGCACACCAGTATAACGGAATGAGCTGACTTCTGAATTTATAAATGTAAGTTCAACCTTTGCCCCAGTTACAAAGAATACTGTGGCTTTGGGCAAGCTACTTTATCTCTCATTCCATCTCATCTGCACTACTGGCAACAGTTGAGATACTCATTGGAAGGCAATTTGTAGGTTCATAAGTGTTGCACAGAATGCTAAAGCATTCAATCATTTCGAAAGGTGGAGAGCCATACTCTGCGGCAGACCATTGGTTGGAAAATTCCAAATGAAACCCATGTGTGATTCATAAGATAAACTCTCAAAAATGCACCTCAAGGCTGAGACATCTCTTCCCTCTGAAGAGTGCATTTTAATATTACTGTCTACTCACGGATCCTAAACACTGTAAAAAAAAAATTTTTAACCAAAAACAGTATGATAGGCTCTGCTTGCAACTTATAATACAATACAATATCCAATGCTGTCATGAACGACACAAAAATCATTCAGGCCGGGTGGTCAGTTATTGCAAGACTACTGAGGGCTCTATGTGGTTTAGAGAGCATCATTTGGAGCAAGGGCTCCTTGACACCTTTCAGCAAGCAAGCTGTGCCGTGCAGAACTCCTAAAAGTGCTATAGTTCCCCCAACATGAGCTCAGCTCATGTTGGATATAGGCCAAATCCACACCATGTTGCTAGCACAACCAAAGGCAGAGACACTAAAGCGTTTGCAACATCTGTGATTTTGCCCTTTGGTGCAGCATGTCACCGTTCCATCCCTTCGCTAAATCAACTCCTCTTTCTCCTGCCTATCCCCGACTCCACACGCCACTTGGCATTGTCAAGATTGGATTTTGCCCAGTCTAAAGATGGAATTGTCTTGTTTCTCAGTGTGCCTCTTTCACATTCCTTTCCCAGTTCCCCACAAAAGTAACCTACTTTTCTCTCCTGTGTCACTTCGCTACACTGAGACCTCCCCATCTTTCTAAACTCCAGAAGAATCTGACCTGCATGTATTGTCCAAAGCTTACCTAGATGGGTTCATAGATGCTGACGACGATGAAGAGCTCGAAAGCCTGTCATCCATCCTTTCCACTTTCATCATTTTCTTCCTCGTGAGCCTTTTCTACAGTGTCACCGTGACTGTCATCAAGGTAAAATGCAAGAGGGGGTTCTGAAGCAAGAGGTCTTTGATCATGCTTTGCAACTGAGGACTAATAGTAACTCACATAGCTGGTAGGGTAAGAAACTACAATGGTTTTCAAGGGCGTGAGACCAAGCTAAGGTTCAAGAAAATATGATTCAGTGGTACCTCGGTTTAAGAACAATCCTGTTTATGAACGATTCAGTTTACAAACTCCGCAAAACTGGAAGTAGTGTTCCAGTTTGCGAACTTTACCTCGGTCTACAAACAGAAACTGAACAGTGGAAGGGCTCCAGCAGCAGGAGGTCTCATTAGGGAAAGCACACCTCAGTTTAAGAATGGATTTGGTTTAAGAACAGACTTCCGGAATGGATTAAGTTCGTAAACCAAGGTACCACTGTATTTTGCAAAGTGTTAGGGTTATATAAGTCAAAGGACTATTATTCTTAGACAAGTCATGTAAACATAGGACTATTTTTCAGAAATGCAGATTAAACTCTCCCCCTCACTGTGTGGATATTTTATTTCAGCAATCTACAGATGTAACCATCTATCTGCCAGTGACGTAGATGAGCCCTGCCAGTTCTGACTGCCCAATAAAAATATCACCGCATGCTATTGGAATAGAGTTTTATTGCATCACTAAATCACAGTGATGAATGGGACAGCAAGTTGTGAAAGAGTGGAGGGCTGTACGGCTTTATTTTTGTCCAGGCAAGCATTAATTATGGTTGTTTTCCAATTCCAGGTGAAATAACAAAGTGAAGGGTCATCTGAAGAGGGACAATAAGTTGCCTAACATAAAGGACTGTATATTCTTTCAGTTTCTTTCATCAGCAGCATAATCAAGGACTTAATATTTCTCCCTTCACTTTTGGGGGAAGGTCGACTGGACAGATGACATTTCTGTCTCGCTTTGTCTCATCATGTATCTGGGAGCAAGTCCTATCAAACTAAACGGGACTAATATATGACTAGACATGCATGGCCTTTTGCTGCCAGTGTTCCATTTGAACTGAACCTATTGGACTGGTTGTTTATCCTTCAAACATGTATGCTATAATTTTGCCTTCCTTCAGTGTGTGTGTGTGTGTGTGTGTGTGTGTGTGTGTGTGTGTGTACTTAAAGCAGACCAACTGAAATTAATTAAACTCAATTATCCATTTTAACTCCAATGGGTCTACTCTGATTTAGGACTAGCATTGCATACCACTCATCGCTGTGACTCTGCCGTGGTCATATTTCGTTTTAGCTATTGTTGCCTACCTAGTCTAAACCCAAAAAGAGGATAATGCAATTTCAACTCTGAATGCAGTAGACAGAGTATTGTACCACATATACCAAACAGAATGTTTGCCTTTATCCTGTTGTACATTAAGCTTACATTTCACGTGAACATTTTACATTCCTTCTGAATTGTTACTCTAACTAATTTTCTAGTTTTAAGTGTATCCCACACTGCATCCAGAGGCAAGAAAGGGTTCAGTTTATTCAAGAAACACCCTTTTTATAACTAAAATGCATTACACCACAGGTGAACATGGGTAGCTGGCAGATGCTAGATACCTTTGTTGTTGTAAGAGCAGATGCCATGCATCTATAAAGTCATCTGAG